GCTCATTTAGGGATGCTGAAACCAGCGCCCCGCCTTAGACATCCTCAAAATCTGCTCTAAAGCCAAAGATGTTGGGCATGAAAACAAGCAAACCGCCTGAGACATCCCCACAAACTGGCCGCGAACGGGCCCGTGAAAGCACCCCCGGCGGCTCCCTTTAAGGGTGCTGAAACCAGCGCCCCGCCTGAGGCATCCTCAAAAACTGCTATGAAAGCCGAGGACGTTGGGCATGAAAACGAGCAAACCGCCTGAGACATCCCCGCTGACTGGCCCCGAACGGGCCCGTGCAATCATCCCTGGCGGCGCCCCTTAGGGGTGCTGAAACCAGCGCCCCGCCTGAGACATCCTCAAAATCTGCTATGAAAGCCAAAACTGTTGGGCATGACCGCCTGAGACATCCCCGCAAACTGGCCGCGAACGGGCCCGTGCAAACACCCCTGGCGGTTCCCCTTAGGGGTGCTGGAACCAGCGCCCCGCCTGAGACATCCTCAGAATCTGCTATGAAAGCGAAGGATGTTGGGCATGACAACGAGCAAACCGCTTGAGACATCCCCGCAAACTGGCCGCGAACGGGCCCGTGCAAACACCCCTGGCGGTTCCCCTTAGGGGTGCTGGAACCAGCGCCCCGCCTGAGACATCCCCAGAATCTGCTCTCAAAGCGAAGGATGCTGGACATGAAAACAAGCAAACCGCCTGAACATCCCCGTAAACTGGCCGCGAACGGGCCCCTGCAAACACCCCTGGCGGCTCCCCTTAGGGGCATTGAAACCAGCGCCCCGCCTGAGACATCCTCAGAAACTGCTATGAAAGCCGAGGACGTTGGGCATGACAACGAGCAAACCGCCTGAGACATCCCCGCTGACTGGCCCCGAACGGGCACTACAAACACCCCTGGCGGCCCCCTTAGGGGTGCTGAAACCAGCGCCCAACCTGAGACATCCTCAGAATCTGCTATGAAAGCCAAGGATGTTGGGCATGAAAGCGAGCAAACCGCCTGAGACATCCTCACAAGCTGGCCGCGAAAGGGCCCGTGCAATCACCCCTGGCGGCGCCCCTTAGGAGTGCTGAAACCAGCGCCCCGCCTGAGACCCGCCGGAATATGAGTAAATCTGTGCATGAATAACTGTGTATGTCTACGTCGGGGTATGAGTAAGTCTGAGTATGAGCAGGTCTCATTATGAGTAAGTTTCAGTGTGTGTGAGAGTAAGTCTGGACGTGAGTAAAACGCACATGGGGAGACGAGGAGAGGAGTGGACGAGAAGAAAAAGGATAACGAGGAGTAGGAAACGTCCAAGTAATAATAATAACCCCTCCTTAGGATATGGGTAGAAACATTTTCCCCCGTCCAAGCTCGTGTTCCAAATGTTGCCTTCGCCTTGGCGCCGCGCGCATTATTTGCTATGTAAACAATATATATATATATAATAAAAAAAAAAAACGCGGATGACAGGCGGCGCGTTTTCAAAATATGACCCTCACCCGAGCACGGTGCGCACCCGTTTGCAGAAGACGCGCGCGAGCTTCGCGGATTGCCGCTTTCAACACCTAGCTCTTGCCTCCGCGCCGCGCACACCCATTCAAAGAAACAATCCAAAACACTCGCGAATTGAAGGCGGCGCGTTTTGAAAATGCCACTCTCGCTGGAACGCCGCGCGCGTTCGTGTTTCAATGCGTGCGTTAATTTCACGGATTGCATGCGGCTCGTTTTCAAAATCTAGCTCCCGCCTGAGCGCCGCGCGCGTTTGCGCATGTGTTGTCGGGGGGGGGGGGGAGGGGAAATGTTCACGAATTTCATAAATTGAGGCAGGCTCGGATTCCAAGTGTAGATTTCGCCCAAGCGCCGAGCGCATTCGGCTTCTGAAGTACGCGCGAATCTCGCGCATTGTAGGCGGTTCGCTGTCACAATCTAGCCCTGGCATTCGCGCAGCGCACATTCGTTTCTAAACTTCGCACGAATTACACATAGCATAAGCAGCTCGGTGTCAAACTGTAGCTCTCGCCATAACGTCGCGCACATTTGCCGCAAGCATTTGCACGAGCCTCGCGGTTTGAGAGCGGCTCGGATACAAGACGCAACTTGCCCCGCAGCGCCGCGCGCATTGCTTCCTGAAAATACGTCCCTACCTCGCGGATCCAAGGCGGCTCTTTTTTGTGATCCAACTCTCGCCCTGGCGCCGCGCGCGCTCGCTAACGACGTGTTCACGAGCTTCGTGGATCGAGGGCGGACCGGTTTCAAAAGGTCATTCTCGCCCCGTTGCCGCGCGCATTCGCCCGTGCAGATGTGCGCGAGCTTCGCGGATGGAGGGCGGCTCGTTGAATTGAACCTGGCTCTCGCCTTGGCCCCGCGCGCACCCGGTATCAGAATGTACGCGAACTTCGCGGATCAAGGTCGGCCCCGTTTCAAGATGTAGCCCCCGCCCCAGCGCAGCACGCGCTCGTTTTTAAGAGTGCGCGCGACATCCACGGATCGAGGGCGGCACGCATCCAAAATGCGGTTCTCGCCTCGCGCCGCGCGCGCTCGCCGCGCAAAGTTGGACGCGTTTCGCGGGTTGAGGTCGGCTCGTTTTCGAACATCTAGCTCTCGCAAAGCTCGCGACGCTGACGGCGGCAACGCCGGCGCTGACGACGATGCCGACGCCGACGCCAGGTGATTGTCGGCGACGGCGGCCCCGCCTTCGTCTGAGGAGCAGCGCGTCTTAGAGCGCGGCTGCATCGGGAAGTCCTAAGCGCCGAAGGCCGCTCCACGGCTGCGCGCTGGAAGCCCCCCTTCCGGCGCCCCCCCTCCTTTTCCGCGGCCTCCTCCTCCTCCTCATCTCCCTCCTCCTCATCCCTGCCCCCCTCCTCCTCGCCCTCCCCCCCCTCTCCCCTTCGCGGATGCGCCGCTGACGCTATGACGCTGAACTTCCCGGGAGCGCGTCACGCGCTTCCCGGGAACATCACTGAACATTTTGCCCCATCATTCAGCTGAGCCGAGCCGATCTCGCAACAACCTGGCCTCGCCGCTCAGCGCGTCAGTGATCTGACGCTGCGGTCGCAGAGCAAGGCGTTTTCGGGCGCCTGGCGCCTGGGGAAAGGAGCTGCTGATTAGTTCTTATGTCACTTCGCCGCATGGATGTTTTCGCCGCGGTGGATCCCCCTCCTGGCCCAGCTCTTCCCAGTCCCGAGGGCGTCGGGCTGAAAGGCCTCAGGCGGCGTCTCAGCGCCGACAGCAGCCGGGCGCCGCGGCGGACTCAGCGCGCGAGTGATCTGAAACTGCCACTGTTGCATCTCTCTTTTTCCCGCGCGCGCCCGCTGGCGCCGCGGTCGCCAGGGCCTGGCGTTCTCGGGCGCCTGATGTCTGAACACAAGAGCTGATGATAGTCCGCATGCTCTTTCACGTCCCGGGCGCCCGCGTCGCGGCGGGCCCCCCCTGGCCCGGTTCTCCTCAAAGCGGGGGGCGCCGGGCTGGCCGATCTCGAGCGGCGCCTCAGCGCCGGAAGCACCCGGGCGCCGCGGCGCGCTGACTTCCGAGCGGAGCCGCATGCTGACAAGCACCCTCCTTCGACGCCTGGCGGGGCCGCCGCAGACTTGGCGCGCGCCGGCGCTGACTCGGACGTCGGGGGCGTGGGTCTTCGTGCTCCGCCTGGGGCCTGGCGCGCTGGGGCGGAGAGCGCAGCATTGCTCTGGCGAGTTACCTGAGCCTGCGCGGCTGCGGACAGGACCTGAAGAAACCAAAAGACACTCCAAGAAAGCCAAGGATTTCCGAAGAGCCCCAAGAAATCCTAATATATCTTGAGAACCCGAAGACTCCCCAACAAATTCAAGAATCCCAAGAATCCCAGCAAATCCCCGATGACTCCCACGCATCCCGAGAAACCCCAAGAGACCCGAAACCCAAAGATACCCCGATAACCGTTGAAACCCCCAGACATCTCCACTTATCTCCAGAAACGCGGGAATCCAGAAAAAGCCCTAGACCCGAGAAGTCTCATGAATCCACAAATTCAGAAAAACCGCAACAATCTCCAGACTATGGACGCTGCGTGAGAGGACTCGTGAAAATGGCACAACTCAATGGCATGCTCGCAATGCGCTGGCCTGCGGCCTCGCCAGCTGACCTGCGCTCGCTGCGAGCTGGCCTCGCCGCTCTGCGCGCGCGTGCAAAAATCATCGCAGCGCAAAACGATAATAGAAACATTCGTGCAATTCTGCGGCAACACTAATCTGGTCTCTCCCCACTGCCCCCGCCCCATGCGGTTCCCAGCGCGATCGCCCAAGAGGCTCCGAGGAGGATCCCAAGACGACCAACGAGATCTCCATCAAAGAGGACTTCCAAGAGGACCCCAAGATGCCAAAATTAATCAGCTTTGCTATGTGGTTGCATGATTGTCGCGTTCGCGCCTGTTCGGTCTTCCGACAGCCCAAGACGGCCTCAACAAAAAAACAAACACGCAGGAGGACCCCAAGCCAAGCCAAGGGCCCCCAAGACGGCGCAGAGAGACCCCCAACAAGGCTCAAGAGGGCCACAATACATTCCAGAGGGGCCCCCAACACGGCTTCCGAACTCGTCAGACGTCGGAGCTCAAGAGGGCACAAGACAGCCCACAGGGCCCCACGATAGCCTCCAACTCATCAAACATCAGACACCAACCGAGCCATCAGACGACCCAAGATCCCCCCACGAGGCCCTCAGAGGCCCCAAGACGCCACCAAGACACCCCAGGAAGCCACCAAGAGGCTCCAAGGAAGACTCCAGGAGGCCCCTCGAAGCCCCCAAGAGCCCGTGTCCTCCTCCTCCTCCTCCTCCTCCTCCTCCTCTTTCTCCCTCTCATCCTCCTAGTTCTATTCCTCTAGAAGGGTTCTGTCAATGGTTTATAAAACTGGGGAATGCATCAGGAGTCCACTGGCCTGGCCAGGCTGTGACTGTGGCTCAACGCTGAGCCGAATAGGCGCTGGGCGGTCGGCGGCAGAGAGTCGCCGGAGGCGTCTTCGATAGCAGAAGTCGTACGTATTCAAGAAACCAGTCGTATCCAGCGCGTGAATCAGCATGTCCGTCTTGCAATGAGATGGCACATTGCGCAGCATCACCGTGGTGATAGTCTCGTCGTCCTTGCCTGGGGTCACCTTGGACATCATGGCTTGGGTCACGCGTGCCTTGCGACCACGGCACCTGCCGGGACAAAGAGTTACCAATGCCGCTGCTCCTCAAATCTCTCCTGGGGTGCGTTCTGACACTACTTTCAATGAGAATCCAGCCGTGGCGACGAGGGCGTTCCAGGGGGCCCAACAGGGTCAAACGAGGGAAGGGTAGCTATCTCGGCATCGTGTCCTCCCCCGTAGCGAAGATGAATCGACACTTTCGCAGATCCGCAGAGAGTTCTTGGATCGACGCTGGGCCCGGTTCCAGGCGCGCGGAGTGCGCCAATTGCGGCGTCAGAAGCGCCGCCAGGGGGGGGCCCGGCGCCGATCCGAGGAATCAGCGCCGAGGGTAGACAAATAAGGCTTCTGCGAATTTAGGTTCTTCGGTTCGACAGAAAGAAACTGTATACTACACCCGAAAGCCCTGGGGGGCAAGCGAGGGTCCTGGTCGTGGGTTTGATAAACAAATATTCCTCCCTGGGGCGCGTTTTTTGCATACTGAACGTAGCCTCGGACGCTGGGATCTGACTGGGGCGGGGAGGGTGCGGTATACGGACAAAAACATTGAGGACCCGGACATCGGCTGATCAGTCGAAAAAGGACCACTAACCCCTAATGCGACGACGGTGACCTCAATTAGGCCATGTCTTCATCGCGTATTTCGGGTTGGGGGCTTTTTTGTTTGCAATGATCGGCATCTTGAGCAGGGACCGACCGTTCCGGCATTCCTATAGGCCTAACACGAAATGTTCTCACAATCCCAAAAATATTCGACTCATGGTAACGATGCTCTTATAACATAGACCCGACGTGGTAAAACAGGACAACCCCAGCCAGAAGTGTTCCAAGAACATGTAGTGCAGACCACGAAACATTCTTAGAACATTCTCAGATGAGCCTGTAGGCGAGCCCAGACGATTCGCCACTGCTTGTAAGTCGGGCCTGTCTTCCTACAGTGGGATTTTCTACAACAAATTAAGCCTGGCAAAGGACCCAACCATATGCAGTTGTGAGTACCGCAATTCTGGATATCTTCTTCGGTGCTCCCTATGGGGCCACGAAGCGCTGTACTGGGTGGGTGAAACGCAGGGAGCAAGGGCTGTGTTGGGTGGTGGCTGACGCATGCGGGCGGTGCCACTGGGACCTTCGCTGGAGCCCCCTATGGGGCCACGAAGCGCTGTACTGGGTGGGTGAAACGCAGGGAGCAACGGCTGTGCTGGGTGGTGGCTGACGCATGCGGGTGGTGCCATTGGGACATTCGGTGGAGCTCCCTATGGGGCCACGGAGCGCTGCACTGGGTGGGTGAAAAGCAAGGAGAAAGGGCTGTGCTGGGTGGTGGCGGACGCATGCGGGCGATGCCACTGGGACCTTCGGTGGAGCTCCCTATGGGGCCACGAAGCGCTGTACTGGGTGGGCGAAACGCAGGGAGCAAGGGCTGTGCTGGGTGGTGGCTGACGCATGCGGGCGGTGCCATTGGGACCTTCGGTGGAGCTCCTTATGGGGCCACGAAGCGCTGTACTGGGTGGGTGAAACGCAAGGAGCAAGAGCTGTGCTGGACGGTGGCCGGCGCACGCGGGCGGTGCCAGTGGGACCTTCGGTGGAGCTCCCTGTGGGGCCACGAAACGCTGTACTGGGTGGGTGAAACGCAGGGAGGAGGGGGAGGAGGGCCACGAAACGCTGTACTGGGTGGGGGACGCATGCGGACGGTAGACCTGGAACTTCGGTGGAACTTCTTTAGGGGGCTACAAAACGCTGTGCTGGGCGGGTGAAACGCAGGAGGAGGGGGAGGAGGGCCACGAAACGCTGTACTGGGTGGGGGGGGACGCATGCGGACGGTAGACCTGGAACCTTCGGTGGAGCTCCCTATGGGGCCACGAAGCGCTGTACTGGGTGGGTGAAGCGCAGGGAGGAGGGGGAGGAGGGCCACGAAACGCTGTACTGTGTGGTGGGGGGACGCATGCGGACGGTAGACCTGGAACCTTCGGTGGAGCTCCCTACGGGGCCACGAAGCGGTGTGCTGGGCAGGTGAAATGCAGGGAGGAGGGGGAGGAGGACCACGAAACGCTGTACTGGGTGGGGCGGACGCATGCGGACGGTAGACTTCGGTGGAGCTCCCTATGGGGCCACGAAGCGCTGTACTGGGTGGGTGAAGCGCAGGGAGGAGGGGGAAGAGGGCCACGAAACGCTGTACTGTGTGTGGGGGGACGCATGCGGACGGTAGACCTGGAACCTTCGGTGGAGCTCCCATGGGGCCACGAAACGCTGTGCTGTGCGTGGGGGACGCATGCGGGCACCCCCACTGGGGCCTTCGGTGGAGCTCCCTATGGGGCCACGACGCGCTGTGATGGGCGTGGGGGGCGCATGCGGGCACCCCCACTGGGGCCATCGGTGGAGCTCCCTATGGGGCCACGAAGCGCTGTGCTGGGCGTGGGGGACGCATGCGGCCCCCCCCACTGGGGCCTTCGGTGGAGCTCCCTATGGGGCCACGAAGCGCTGTGCTGGGCGTGGGGGACGCATGCGGCCCCCCCCACTGGGGCCGTCGGTGGAGCTCCCCATGGGGCCACGAAGCGCTGTGCTGGGCGTGGGAGCCGCATGCGGCACCCCCCCCACTGGGGCCTTCGGTGGAGCTCCCCATGGGGCCACGAAACGCTGTGTTGGGCGTGGGGGACGCATGCGGCCCCCCCCCACCGGGGCCTTCGGTGGAGCTCCCTATGGGGCTTCGAAACAAATCAGCCATGGCGATGCCGATGATGACGATGATGGTGATGATGATGATGCTGATGATGATGATGATGCTGATGATGATGACGATGATGGGAGGAGGGGGTGAGCTGACACATGCGGAGAGCAAAGGCAAGGATAGGGGAGGAGGGAGGAGGAGGAGAGGAGGAAGGAGAAAGGAGGTGGGACGCGGGGCGCTGTCTCTTCAAAACGAGGACCCAACACCACAGGATGGTTGGGAAAAACATATAAAATGCTAAAAAATACCCCCACACACTGTCAACACATACTCAAAACATAGTCCCAAGACTATGTCTTTGATCATTTTTGAATTTTCCTCTTGTAGAGGGACAAGCCCGACTTAACACTGCTTGAGCATCTCCCTTCCGCCCCCCGAGCACCTGCGAGTCTGCACGCGAGCCGGCTGCTCCGCGCGGGCCGACTGCTGCGGCTCACGGGACTCGTCGGGCGCATGGGCCGCGCCGCCTGCAGCCGTGCCCTGGCTCCAGCTCCGCCGTGCATTTTTGTCGGGCGACTTCGCATGTAAACTCGCCATCGCTCGGACGTCCATTCCCTGTGTTTTCTTCAGTTTCGTGCGTGGTTTTTTCGCCAAATGATCAAGGATGCTCCTCGATGGTCCTCGACGAAGGAAAAATGCACAAGCCCGAGCGATGCCAAGGTAAGGTTAGGTCGGGCATGTCCTCCTACAGCTGAAACATACTCAAAAACAACCAAACAATAACTGCGAAATGATACTGTTGAACATTCCTCTTGCAAAAGACATGCCCGACTTAACCGTCCCCTGAAATCCTGGCGAGTCAGATTTTCCGAGCCCGGCGTTTTCGCTCAACGTCGGGCCCAGGGACCCTCACATATCGATGCGGAACGGTGACGCAGAAGGATGGTGTCCAGGGGTCCCGTCGTGTTTTTTTGCGATGTTGAAGTGTTTTTGCAACGTCGGATCGCAGGGTACGCAGCACCCTGGAACTGCGGATGAGAATGGGGGGGCGGGCGCGGGGTGGTCGCGGGTTGGTCGCGGAACTGGTCGCGGGGTGGGTACCAGGAGGGTCGTGGTGGGCACGACGACAAGAACAATTATTCTAAGACTGTTCGTCTCATACGATCGCGTGTCAACATGTATATCCCCAAGCCAACGATACCCACCCTATTCGTCTTCGATCGTACCCTCCTTGGGGGTGCATCTTCGTTGCCTGTCACGTGTAGTTCTTTGCCTGCCACGTGTTTTTGGCGCTGCCGCTAGAACAGGGAAAGGGAGGGAGGAGGGAAGAGACAAGGGGGAGGGAGAAGCATGGAACACGAGAGAGATTTCCTTGATGGGAGGTTCGGAGCACGAGCACAAGCGGCAAAACCAGACGGGCGGGTCGGGCGGGCGGACCCGAACGGGCGGGCGGGCCCAGACGGCCAGTTCGAATGGGCGGGCCGCTGGAGCGTGAGCAAAACATGGACAGCAAGCATGCCCAACGATTGCGCGATTCCCAAGTAAATCGCTGGGACGTCCATAACGAGAAGATGGTTCCTGAATGTTTGGGGCACGGCGCAGCAATAAATGACAAAATGCTACGCGAGCGCGGGATTCCTGTATGTACTGTGTGAGCGTCCCACGCAAGATCGCGACTTCGAAATAATATGTGAGGAATATCGGGCGGGAGCCGACGCTGTTGTTCGGGGGCCAACAACGCATTCTGAGGTTCAAATCTTTTTTGTTTTGCAAATTGCACCGGCAAAGCACCTGAATAGCAACTATGGTGCAGAGACGGATGCACGGCTGAAGCGTCGGCTTACGAGAATGACCTCGTCATATAGTCGGGACGGTGACGGAGTTGAACTTGTTCATGAGGGCGACGTTCGTGATGTCGACATGGTGTTACAAACGTGCCTGGAACAGCCTTCAGGACCGAACGACCCCACTCCTGGCAGCTGGAAAGGCGAGAAGCCGATGCACTGCCACACTTTCTGGACCCAGGACAGCTGGAATTGTGACCGTGGACCTGCGACGGCTGAAATCGAGCCAGAACACAATAATGAATCTGATTGCTAGATATGTGAAGGCAAAAAAGAAGCCGGCATTTGGCCGTCCCCCCTCCCCCCTCCCTCTCCCCCAGGGCCCAAAATCCTGTTTAAGGGTGGGCGGGGTGGGGGG